AATGTATTATCTCGTAACTCGAGTTTTCGCGGAATAATGATTTTTGTGACTGTTTTGCATTTCACGACTTCAATTATGGCGCACGAGTAGGTATTGCAACTCTCGGGAGATTTCTACAAGATTGCATACAGCAACATAGCTGTTGTACGTGAAATCGTTGCGGCAATCAATTATACGGAAGTAAAACCTTCTCTCTAATTCGTGCGATTTTTACACATTCAAAAAAACATTTTATTTTTATGAATGAAGTTTCGGTTGATCGGTCGACCGATGTCAATGGTGGAATAGCATGAAATTTAATGCCAAACTCTTTCTAGAATAGAGAATATAGTTTAATATTAAATTGCATTGGTTAATTATGTAATAACAATTATTAGTATGATCTAGCATGATAATATTATGTTTAGCAAGTTCAATGTTTGACAATAGCCATTATTATCAAAGCACTATGTGATTAACTGTCATTTAGCATTACATCTGTTTTGCCATTGTAATTAACATACCGCAGTGTGTTAAAAATTGCCAATTTCGTTTGTTTGCCGAGCAACGCAAGCTCAGAGAGAAACGTGCATGTGCAACGGATTGACGTAACTCGTCGCAAGTTAGTTACGCGTTCAATTTTTGCATGGTGCAAGACGGGCTTAAGAACGCGCAGTTACTACCGACGCTGCCGCGCCCTGTTCAACCGGGCCTCTCTTTTTCGCCACTCGTTCTTTTCTCGCGTTAGTATAATCCACCTTCCTTCCTTCTCCCGTCTCTTCCTTTGCTTTCTTTCGTGTGCGCGATGCACGTCATCGTTTCTCTCGCGCGTCACGTCGTGCATATTAAAAACCGTGCGGTAAGTGGAAATAATTTTTCTGCATCCTCGATATTTTTAAGAAGCTCTCGGGCGGTAGGAATTTTGAACGTGTTGATTTATGTTCCCGTATTAAGTCGGCTATTTAAGTGGCAGGTGTGGTGAGAAACATGAGAAATTTAAGGCTAATAAAAAAACCCTAACGACTCTAATGAATAACTCTAATGAATTACAAAAGAAGAGATACAAAGATAGCATATTGTTATAGGGGCAATCATCTGTTGACAAATGTTAAAATGCAAATAATTTTCTCTTGTCTCACCGATATTTTGAACGTTGCATAATATAAATAATTTATTTTATTTTACATACTTAAACAGTGGCCACGAGAAATATCTTTGTCTAATAGGCGAAAAAGCTTAGTATCCCGAGGAGATTAAAGATCCTAATCTCTGAAAACTGTAGCTTTTTACATATCTAGAAGTATCTTGGACGGGAATCAAGGTGCGCCATATGCACCTTGATGCACCCAACCTCTTTCACCGATTGGCTTCTCGCGCGGCTACTTTTGTTGCTCGACGTGGTGGGCCAAACGGGCGGGCAGGCCCCTCGAAGCATATGGGTCATTTTGTTACCCTCCTTTTTCCTCTTCTTCGCCTTTCCTTTGCCACGGACTCTGCACACTCGTCCCTTTGTCCCCACTATTCCCCCTGCCCTCTCTCTCTTTCGCCAGCGCGCACGACCGGCAAAGGTAACTCAACTTCGGCTTATCTGCTGCCAGCTGTTGATTTTTACAGTATCTTTTTATATATCTATTTTACTAAATTACTATAGTGAAAAATCGATATTAATTAGAAAATGAGTATTCTAATTCAGAATAATCGAGATAGATTTTTCGAAGTTAATCGAAAAATAAATTTTTTTAACTGATGATTTTAAACGGACTGAGCGTTGTCTCTCATATTGTGCCAAAACGACGTGCCAATAAGCTTCCACGGCTGTTATCTCTTTTTTTACAAGACTATGTCGCGTCGCGACGAAAATATATCACGTATTTATTTTTGTGGTCAAGTTATTGTAACACGACTGTTACGTTATATGTTATAACTCGACTGTTACGCTTCAACTGTGGCTTCGAATTTTCTCGCGCATTCCTGGATGACGAATCATGTTCGTTCTCAGACGGGCAAAGATAACATTTCTGAAGTGCAAGGACAGCGGCACACACACGCGGAAACAATTCTATTGCAGTATTTAGACTTCTCGGAATTATCGTTATCTTCGGATAACGATAAAATAGCTTCTTATTGATTTGAAGGAAAAATAGAGATTCAATATATACTAAGTTTTCTATTTCGATACATCCCTAACGATTAAAAATACTCGAATTGTACTTAACTCGTAATAATTCTCTAAAAGCTTTTCTTTTTACGTTCTTTCGAAATCGAGTCGATTGCCCCCTCCCTCCCTGCGGCGTTCAATCAAATTGCATTTCCCCATTGCGTCGGTTCATTGCTCCGTTGTTCCATAAGCCATAAATAATCGCGAGTTTTGCCCGTTGGAGTAACATAACGCAGAAGACAAATTGTTCTCGCGTCGGAAGAAGCGTTTAGTGTCGGTGTCGAGCTTACTCGGGTGAAGCTAATAATAACGTTGGCGCCGATAATCGTTCGCGGAAAAAGCGGCCGGTTAAACATCTACATCCAAAGCTTATTCGGCCGGCAGAATCGTCTGTGATGACGGTGAATAACGCTGATGACATTGTTTACGCGACGAATATGCAATGCTCCGGGATCCGTTTAACACGTGTAATTTACGCGCGCGAGCCGCGCGTAAATCGTGCACGATCGCGTACGTATAATAGCCTCGCGCACGTGCGAGCCTCGGCGGTACCCATGCTTTGTCACGTAACAGCGCGAGGAATAGATTGCTATAGTTATTAAAAGCGTGTCGGGCCGTTTTGGTTAGCGAGCTGAACATTCTCGGGGGAGTCCGCGCGAATTCACTCCGAGTTCATGGGATTTATTACTGGATTTACTTCGCTATATTAGTGTAGGACCTATCTGGTGAGAACTAAATCCTATTTTGGCTTTCTCTGCGAAACATGTTGCTATAAATTTCGTGATTTCGTATACCGTGAGTTTTCTTGTTTTATAAATAAACAAAATCGAAATTTGTCGATCTATTGCTTTTTCTATATTTTTTATTTTCTTTGATGTTTTAAATTCTATATTTTATAAAATTATAAAAATAGACTTATCTTGGAAATTTAGTAAGTTACAAAGAAAATAATGATTAATGCATCAATTACGCCAATTTAATCTATATTTGAATGTATTATTATAACTGTCCTTGTATAAATAAAGATGAAAGTTTTTATACGTACAAGATATCCTACAATTATTATATTTATTTTAATAGCGTAGACATTAAATGAAGTCAAAAATTATATAAAATAAGCTTTTGTTGAGAAAAATCTAAGCAAAAGATTGTATATACAGACCAATACGTGTAATCACTTTTTATTGATTTTTACAGCTCAGGTAATATTGATCTTTATTGCTATTTTATCTCTTGGCTTTTTATACCTGATGGATTTTACGCGTACTATTCAGTGGATAATTGACAAGTTGATTACTAGTCACAAACTTTAATTGCTAAATACAAATTATTTAGTTCTCGTTTTTAATGACTAAGTTAACTATTACGGTTAACTATTCGATTTAAAGAGAATTATTAAATCCAATATTGAAATTGTTTAAGAATACAATTTATTTTTATTTTGCGATCGAGAAATAAAAATTATATAATGTATCATTATCATTTTTTCTAAATACTTTCGTCTCGAGAGAAGCAAAATTATTTGATTTTAATAAGTCTTGATAAAAATAAGTCATTACATTTTTCGCGATTTGTCGTTTTCTCGATTTATTAAAATTCTATGAATTCCATATTTCTCGTAAAAATTTGGTACAAAGTAACAATAAATTAATTTACGTACATAGATACTTTTTTGATCGAAATTAAAATAAGGTTTATTCTTTAAATGCATGCGCTATTAGTGTACCTATCGAAAATAATTTGATATTAAAGGAAATGAAGATTAGACATATAATATTTTAGATATTTCGTAACGATGAGACGAAATATAGCTAACGTTATTCGGCTCCAGCACTCGGCATTCTTTTTTTCTGGCGTACGTCACGTGTTTACGTTAGGCGGTCGGACGGGCGGGCGGCCTTACCGGCATTCGCGTAGCGAGCTTCGAGCAGACGGGCAGCAGCAAGCATTCGCTTTGTGCGATATTGCGTTATCGCGTTCGGAGTACTATTATTCCTTACGCATACTTAGCGATTGATAATCCACGCGACAAGTAAAATCTCGCGATTAACAATCCGAAAATATATATAATCGAGCCCTAGCTCGAGCGATGATCCTTCATCAAGGCGGATATTTGTATATTTGCGCTGCTTATCTGAAACCAAAACGATAGGTAACGGGAGTTGTATTCTCGATGGTCATGCATGATCAGTATGATAATGAGTTCGTTAAAGATTGAAAGATTTTTATAATTTTTCAATCAGTTAAACGGAATGTGTACAATATTTTTTTATTAAGAGCGCGGAGTACGCGAATCGTTGAATCGTGAGTAAGTCGAGTAAAGAGAAAGTCACGATAGAGAGAGCCCGCTTATTAATAACACGTGCTTCGTGGGATTTATTCGTCCGAAATGTATAGGTATGTTTTGCAATACGGAATTGTGATTATATCTTTGAACATTGCAACTTATTGTTAGTTAGTTGTTACCTCGAGTATCTTAATCGCATCATATCGCAGTATCAGCACAATTACCGATACTATATATTCGAATTTTTCAATTATTAACAACAAAACGTCATTAATCGAACGACCTGTTAAGTCACACGTATCTTGATATCTGCGTAGCGTACATATGGCCTTCATACATCAGTGATTCGTGGAAACTACCTACCGCTTGAGGTTAGCGTTGTATTAATTTTCGGGAGGCCGTTAGTGGATAATCGCGTGTAATTGCCTTTTTTTCGTATTATTCTGCCGTCGCGCAATCTAGTAAAGTGCGCATCGCGTGTCGGGAGTGTCGTGCTAAGTGTCGCGCGATCGTCGTATCCTGATAATTAACTGCCCGTGCGATTGTAATGATATCGCGAGTGATTATTGAGTGTCATGAAGGAACGCAGGTGTCGGAGAGGAAAGCCTGGGGCAGCAACCATGGTATAAGTTCGTAATTTATTGTTCTATTTATTACACTTGTGGAATTGTTGATAATTATTCTATATTATTTTCTGAAATAATATTTCGCGCAACAATTATTTCCTAAAATAATTAATTATTTCAAACGTTACTATAATTTAAATTTATTTTACATTTTAACGTCATTACTACATTTTACACATTAACTCCGCTGCTGCGCATGATATCAGTGAATGATAAATTATCTTTTAACTGGAAATGTAATAAATCTGCGATCAGATGTGTATAACCTGTTATAAAATTGTAATTCTAATTTATCACAATGTACCCATCTATATGTTTCTAAAAAGATTTTATATTGCTTGAAACAAAATGAAATCATATGAGATTCGATAAATATTTTATCGCGAAACTAAATAATTCTATATAATTATCTTTGTAGCGTGCACGTAATACCTGCACATAAAAGCTCGAAATACAGTCAGCTAAACAATAAAAATCAATATCGCCTGAGCTATAAAGATCAACATTATAAACGATAAATTAGTCAAACAATTAACAGCGTGAACTTTACGCGATACCATTAGCCGATTTTAATCATCTATAATCCGAGAATAATTATGCCGTCAACGTTTTCGTGTCGTCCTCGGATTTTCGGCTTTAATTGATTTCGCAAATGTACGCTATTAAGGTATTATAGCGGGTAGTTGCGGGTGTTTTATTTGTCTCTCCGACGAATAGTATAGCACTGTCTCCGTTGCCGTTATGCAACGGACGCAGGTCTTTCTCCTCGTCGACCTGTCCCGTGGACACACCTTCGAGTCAAGAGTCATCAGTTGTATTTATAGAACGTGACTCGGTGATTGCATTGCCGTTTGCTGGTAACAAGTCGCCCTAATGACGCCATTGTGTGCTACGTCTGTTGCACCTGCATCCCTGCAGCCTTGCACTCGGCTCTCTCCTTTTTTCCATCGATCCACGTGACTTCCTGGCGCGTGTATATGCCACCAGTTTTCACATTGTTAAATTTTGACATACGATCAACTATTCTTTTCCGTTCGAGCGGCAACCGATCTTTTAGCGGTCCAATTCTTTTCTATTAAAAAATATTGATTACACGACTTGTATTTGTCGTAACTCGCTTTCGGCGATAACTCTCCGCTATCGTACTCGCTCGTGTCGTTTCATTGGTGTCTTCGCGCGAAGAAACGGGACAATAATAATTGCACCTTCGTGGGGAAAAAGAAAAAAAAAGAAATAACAGACGAGAAACACCGATGATTCTCTCTCTCGTCGGACTTCATTAATTACTTTTAATTCGCCTCTCGTGATTTAATCGCGCCGCGCCGTAGCGAGATCGTCGCAGCGCTCGCTCGTAAAAGTCGTAAAAGTCGCGGACGTCAGAGATACGATGGCTCGCAATTAATGGATAATCCCATCTTCCTCTTTCACACCATCTTCATTCGCGCACACACCTCTCTCTCTCTCTCTCTCTCTCTCTCTTTCCCTCCTTGTCGGCACGTTATATTAACTCGCGATGATGAAACAGTACTCGTTATGCCACGCCACCGTCGAGGGGGGTATCAGGGGAGCGGCGGGGTAGGCCCGATCGTCATTATACGGCGTTTATATCGTCGGCCGTATTTATCGCGCCGGCTATGGAATGCGACAGTGTGATGTACGGCGCGTAGTAGGCACGGCAGAAACGTTTTCTCGCGTGCGATTCTCCTTACACGTTTTCGCCACGTCGTCTTGATGTATAAATTGCATCGTTCCCTCGTTGCGTAGACGTCTTGTAAAAGGAGAATTGTTTCCGATAGAGACATAAAAATTGCGATCGAGATCGGTCGGTTAGGAATTATTAAGCTGAATTTATCCCCTAGTCCAATTGCCGTCAGGCAAAAAAAAAACTTTACGTCATGGGAAACTTGAAAGAGAATCTCTGAGAGTTGAAAAATCACAACATTTTTCTGTTTTTACCGTTTCGAACATTAAACATCAGAATTCTGTTTTAAAATTATATTGGGAAAGCACTTTAATAAAGAGTCATAATTGTAACTGTTATATCGCTTTCTTAAAACGTGCTAACTTGAGAGATTTGCATTAAACATTCTTGCAAATGATTATGCAGACGCGCGTAAATGTGTATGTGCATAATAAACGTATGTCGGCCCTATAAACGGAGCAGCGCGCTCGTATAACCAAGCTGCGACGGTCATAACGTGCTTGGATACTTGAAATCGCAGCAGTTTCATTGGCCATTGTATCATCATGACGACAGGGAGGTGCGCGAAGGTAGAGTAGAAAAAAGCGCGACACGCGTTTATATTTCTACTGTGAATAAGCGAACAGACATATTCCACGTTGTACAGAATGCATTAGGGGTTGTTACATTGCAAGTCTGTTTGTTGCACCTTTCCGAGACCGACAATAGTTTTTAACAAATTTCGTACAAATCTCCAATGTAATATCTAGTAAATTTTCTTTTGGGGATGATTTTAACAAAAATTATGCCATCAATGTTTATTACAATAAATATATCAATCAATAAATTATAAATATATTTTATTGCTCAAAAATATTGCATTATACATTTTTGATGAACTTAAGTAACTTCAAATTACGAGTGTCTAGACGACACGATAAAAGTATAGACTACTTTTATCAGCTTATCAGTTGTAATGTATTTACGTTATCGGTATACGTTTATTCTTATTATATGGCTTCGGCGTTATCTACTTACCAAGCACTTACGTAAAACCAAGTGTACAATGCAACGATGCAGTGTGACAGTTGTTCATTACGAAGGTACATTTTCTTTTATGAAATGTTGATCAATTGGACTTAATTTATCAGTCTCTCTTTCTCTCTTTCTCGCATTGTACCTCTAATTGAGATATAAAACGATTATGTATAACGTGACAATAGAGAGAATTATAATATTTCGTTTCTAAAAACGATTTCTTAATCTTATTTCTCTCTCGAAAACCTGTTTAACATTATATTTCTCGTGCCAATCGAAGGTCGTTTGATACGCTAATAATTCGTACAGTTGAAATGACGATAAATAGGACCGGACCTAATATCGGCAGCCAACTGCAGCGCTAACTGGTATAAACGGCGCTTTCTTGCGCGAGCAAACTGTCGTGTTATTCCGTCTGCGAAAAGAGATTAATAGACGCATTGTACGCTGCTACGACATGGCACAGTAATGTCGTGCATGCTCGTAAGTAACGCCGGGAATCATTGAGAACAGGCAGCGCACACGTATTCGGTTTTCTCTCTCTCTCTCTCTCCTCTTGTTTTCTGCCTATCGTTTTCTGTCCCTTGCGATACGTGCGCGTTATATAAGGACGAACGAGATGCATGAAACGCTCACTGTAAACGTTATGAGGTGGTTATAACGTAACACCGCCTAAGGCTAGATTACATCGCAGGTACGCATCAGAGAAAAATTTTTCACATATATAGACTTATTTTCCCGCGTTTATGCGCCGACATTTCTCTCGCAGAATCTTACCGATTCGTGTGAAATAAAGTGGTTTGGTCTTCCATGGATTCTCTATAGCACACTCGTACCATTTCGCTATCATATATTTTAGTGCCTGATTATTATAGTGGATTAGTATATTATACTAGCTAATATTTTTTGTTTTATTATACCTGTAATATATATACAGTAGAAAAGTGGAAGGAAAGAAGATGAGAAGACAGTGTTATCCTTTCATTTCGGTTTTATTATCACAGCAGACTTATATTATTACATTGCTATCAAATAATACGAAGCTATTCGGTTGTATTATAACGCGGAATTTTCTCATTTTTGAAGCTGGCATATATCGTTTAGATATAGAGACTAGCGCCATATACAGTTCGGGGAACTTTATTCGCGATACACACGGCAATTACGAGGCCAAAAATTGATCGGATTAATAATTATTAAGCGACTCGTACGTAGGAACAGTGAGCCATATCAACCTGCTCTATTACATGACGTTAGTTATTGCTAAAGTAAAATAACCGTATCGTTTTTCCGCCGAATCTATATCCGTACACATTCGTCAGTTGAAATTTAATCTTTTTTGTAACTTGATCACTTTTGTGACATCACATTTTTTTCAGTTGATACTTTTTAATGGATCGGCGTAAAAATAAACCTACTGTACAATTGAAATTCAATTTACTGAAAATTACTATTTGCACGAGTGATTTAACACCGTTCATAGAACTAGTTACAATGTTGCGTTGTTTATTTTTATGCGCGTTGCACATTTTACGCGACGTACGTGATACGTTCGCGGCCTGACGTGGATGGAATAGCACTCGCGGTTTCCGTTTGTGAAGAAAGATGCGCACCGACTAACTTAGCCGTGGTTTCACGCTCGATGGTTCGCCCACGTGGCGGTATTACGCGAGTCCCGCGGGGTTAGCGGGAATGGGCTCGGAGCCGCCGTCGTATTATTCTTCCGAGTGGGAATCTAGCGAGCCGCGCGCCGCGGTACGAGAGGCGTCATCGAAAAGAGAAGAGAGCGGAAGACAAAAGGGAGACTATTGCAGATACGAATTATTGACCTGTTTACCGCTTTTGCTTGCAAAATTATCCACTCGTTCGGCTCGCGAATGGCCTGGCGGCTAACGCGCCGCTAAACGGGGGCGCTTAAACGCCGGAAGAAACCATCAAAGCCGCTCGAGATATGTTTCCCTCATGAATATTACTTATGACTTTCACGGCGCGCTCTCGCGGGAGTTGGTACGCTGCCAGCGGACGTTAAAGCGGGAAAAGAACCTCCGGCCGATTATTCCGGGGAAAGTACCGCGGTTTCTCTTTCTCTCTCTCTCTCCTTCCTTCTCTTCTTTGCGACGTTCTCGCATCGTATAGCGAGATATCAACGATATTGGTCCGGTAACATATCATGGTAGTTAAAATCCCAACTTGGATAAAATTTCAATATGCAAAAATGATATATTTATGTCCACTTGTAATAATGGAACGCATTGCATAAAACATTTTGTTACCGAAA